TATTTCAATTTATTATAACTAATATTTATCTTAGTTATGCCTACTGCCTATGATTTCCATACTAAAAACATATGATAATTATAGTTTTTATCAAATTAACTAATTGCTAATGCTTATAATAACATTAACATTTAGCAACAGTCATCATTTATATTAAATAATTAAAAATTAAAACTTAACTTTAAAAATAAATATCCAATAATAATATTTAGACAATTTCTTATTCTATTAAATTATTGTGTGTAACATTTTAAGTCCAAGTTTCAGTATTTTGAGTGGTCATAACTTTTTTTGTATTTTTTTTTTTTTTTTGCATCTAAAAATCAATTTTATGTAATAAATCAATATTATTTTTCTCATTCATTTATATACAAATAAATACAAACACTTATATTAAGAAAATAAATATGGTATTTTAGACTTTAGAGTTGTATAACATAAGAAGCTATATATAATTATATATAAATATGGTAATAATTAGTAGAATAAATCATACAATTGGATATGTATTTTTGTCTTTTACTTGAAAATTTCCTTGACTTATTGACTGTGTCTAGCGATATGAATAATGAAAATATAATAATCAAATTATAATATGATGATAAAGTATACTGTCCTTTGTTACTTTTAAAATTCGTTGTATTTTTACTGTAAGCAAATACATTAATAATGTATAAATAATATTCTACTACTCAAGGGACTTATAAAATAATTAAAATAATTACAGTTTATCGCATGACTCTTTTCAGTTAATGTTTGATTGACATCCAAAGATATTTTTTCTGATATTACTATACACAAATATTTAATTACGGCTATTATAAGTTGAGTTGACTATTTAGATAAGCAGACGAGCAGTAGTTTTCTTAATGTCCTATGCGTCTATTTGGGTCACTTCATCAAAGGTCAATACTTATCATAGGATAAATATGCTGGTACACTTTTATATTGTGTATTGTCAGTGATGGTTTTGATCAATCTATTTTTTAACATATAGTTTTGTGATTTACCCAGAATTATATCAAAACTAATCATAATTGTTAATATAAATCATGTATACATGTAGAAAAATAATATTTTATCAAATCAAATCATTAGTATTAGTATTAATTTTCAACGGTTTAATGTATTTAAAAGGATGAAATATTTTAATTTGTATTCTTATATAAGAATATGCACTATAGCATTATCAATAGTTATGTTGTAACTTGATTAATTATTAGAGATGATCCCAATTTATAGATGAAAACATAATATTACTTTTACTGCTTAGTATAAATCTCCGTTGTAGTTTTTTTTTTATATATATATTCATATTTTAACAAGTATTTTAAGAAAAGTTAAATAAAATTGGTTAAGTTTTGTGTGTGTTTTTCAACAATTAAAATAAGTACCATTTTTAAAATTAAAATACTAAAATAAACCACCCAGATATTTTAGGTAAAATTTACTCTAATAGTTATATTATGGTAAGTCAATAACGCCTGTGACAAATTTATAAAAACAAATACTATTTGACAATTCTAATTTTTAAATCATCTTAAGCTTAAATAATTTAAATTATTGTATTAGATAATAAAGTTATATGCGATTATGCAAGCATGAAATAAACTATTATTTCTTAAAGACTATGTTTAAGTAAAACTGATCTGTAGTTTATGCTATACTCGCATGATTAATTCAACTAAATGTGAGCAAAGATTTAAAAATACAAATTGTTAACAAATTTTATTTTTTTATTTTCAGAATCTGAAACTATCACAGATTGGTTAAATGAAGAAAAATTCATTGACCTTCCAATATTTGATGATTTCATGACGAATACTTCTCCAAACAACATTGAAATGAAACCAATGGAATATCAAAAATTTGTCCCTTCCAACAAAGCTATCCAGTACCAACCCTATCCAACCCAACAATATGCACCACCTATGTACTGCCATGAAACGTCCATTCAGCCAAAATTCAACTATGTTCCACCAGCTTCATTGACACCGCCAGAAAGTCCTAAAGATACCGATGTCCTAATGTCTATGCTAGATGATATGCAACCAGAAGAACTCAATCAATTGGTTGTTGACGAAGACACATTGTCAGACTTTATGTCATCAGACGCTAGTAGCCACACCGATTCATACAGTGATATAACAACTAAACGAGGCAAACCATATTCTCCAAAGGCACCCAATGAAGAAAAGCGATTACGTAAAAAAGAACAAAACAAAAATGCAGCAACAAGGTACAGGATGAAGAAAAAAGCTGAAATCAAGGAATCTGTAGTAGAAGAAAAACAACTTTTGCAAAGAAATGATACACTCAAAGACGAAGCCAAAGAACTAGCTAGAGAAATTAAGTATTTGAAATCGTTGTTGAGAGATGTTTACAAAGCCAAGGGACTATTGAATTGAAATACATTTAAAATTCTTGATCTGATTATTTAACTTTTATGGCATATGTTTGATTAATATAAAATAGAATTTTTTTAAATTGTCATGTAGGTTTTGTTGGTGGGTTTTCTCGCATATGCAGTTTTTTGTATCCTTAAGTATAATTACAGTATTAGAATATTTGGAAATCTACTTATAACACCAGTGCAGCCATTATCTCCTTGTAAATATATTCTTATTCTTTTTTTACTAGTGTTGTTTTTAAATATTTTGTATTCATTATTGGCTTGTTAGAACTAACCAAGGAAACTTGTATAATTTTCAAACATACAACTGATCTTTGTAATATATTAAAAATATACCATTACTTTTGATGTGTTTGTAACACTTTAACTGTTAACTAAACAATTATACAATTGTCTTGATATTTGGTGAAGCATTTTTAATTACTTATTAATTTGGTTTTGTATAATATATGAAATCTCCCAAGTTATGTATGCTTGATTGTTATATTAAATTCCTTGGCTTAGTTTAAGATAAATAATTTATTTAGCATTCTTATTATTAGATTATGAAAAAAAATAATACATAAAATAGCCTAACCTATTATACATTTTTTTAATTCAAAACCTTATATTATTTTTAAAAATTACATTATTGTAGTGCTTATAATTTAAATTTTGAATTCAATTACAATCTTTAGTTTTATAGTTTTACTTATAATTGACATGTGTGTTTCTTAATAAGGTTGTTATGATATTTGTCTGAATGATATTGTTGTTTCAACTTGGTGATAAAGTAAAGTTCATTTATTTTTCATAAAACATGAACTAACTGTTTTACAAGTGAAACAATTAGGTGTTGGATGATTTTTATCTCAATTTTTATTTTTAACGGGATAAAAACTGTATTTTAATTTTATTTTATTTTAAAATATATATTAAGATGACTGTTTTATTTTTTAATAATTAATAAAAATAATTCTAAAAACAAAATGTACCAAAAATTGGTTGTATTTGATTTTATWAACTTTTTAAGCTGTTTTAAAGAGAACGTTGGGCAATGTTTGTTTTATATCTGATCTATTGACAACATAATAAAACACATTAACTCAAAATAGTTTTTTTGTGATTTTTAAATTTTCTTATGGTAATATTGCTTATTTTGACAATTATAGGCAATTATATATTTGAAGGTTTGACATATTATTTTCTCTGAATAATATCTCAAAAAAATTATATTTAAAAAAATATACATTTAAATTTACAAAACAAAACCAGAATGTAACCCTYATAAGTAGGGCTCAGATTTATATTAATATGAATAGTTATTTTTTATATGATTTAAAAAAAAAATTGTGTACCTATATTATATATTAATAATTATAATATTAGCTATTATTAAAGTGTACACTATTAATGGCGTATTATAGAACGGTGATGAAATGTGAATAGATTCATGGTATACATAGCTTGAAATTAATCTAAGCAGTTTGAATAAAAAAAATATAGTCATAAAAGTAGGTTAAATTGCAAACAAATAATATTTTTTTAAGTAGAACATTATAAYTTGATATCCAATAAATTTAACTTGAACTCGAAATTAAATTATTAATTTTTTGATTTATTTGTGTAGGTATGCACCAGAAGGAACAATTAAAAATATTGTGTTTCCAAATGTACTTAAATAAATATTAAATAGCATTCAATTGAAACTCGAATATTTATACTTTTCTCAATAAAAACGAAAACAAATACAAATACTTAATATGGTCCAAAATAAATTGAAAATTATTGAAACGATATTAGGACAATTTTATCGTTATTTCGGATGATTTACACTTATAAAAGGCTTAGCTTCTACAACGAATAACATCCAAAAGGAGTTGAAYACTCACAATCTGCTTATAGAGAAACGTGTAAAATAAAGCATATTACCTAGGTATCTATTTAGTGGGCAACGAAGTGCACGGGACCAATTAATAATATATACCTTAAAAAAAATCAGACAAGTCTATGACTTCAAATAAAACATTCACTTATAGTTAATTTAGTTTTTTGTTTTTTGAAATGCATTTACCTGTAGAAACC